TTTTTTTTTTTTACAGATAATGCAATAAAATACAAACATAGACTCTGTTTCTGGGGTGAGCCACCCAACTGAAACTCAACCCCCCTCCCGAAAAGATTTAGTGGATCGCAGCTCACCCCTTTGAAAGAGATTTCTTATTTTTTCAGTACTGCTGAGAATAAAATTATCAAATTGCTGGCTTCTTTATATCTTAATAGAGATGGCCAGGTGCAGATACTTCATCCCAAGTATGTTATATCAGCCTTTCCTCATGAAGTACAGGTTAGCTCGTGCGCCGCTTCTTACCGCCGTGGTGGGGGCCGTGTTCAATTTGTTTTCAAATTCATTTTCATCCTACCTTTTCTTTTATGTGCCTTTTTCTCATTCATTCATTCATTTGTTCGTTTTGTTTTTAGCTCATAGGTGATGGTCAACCAGCTCGCCTGATAACGGTATGCTTATTGTTTAGCTCGGACATCACTGAATTTTTCTTTCATCCTAATGCCAAAAGAACCAGTTTTCTCGACCCATATCTCTGTGTCTATCATATTGCCAACCCTCTGCCGACCATTTTTTTTCAATAATTTATTTCCTAAGATGACACTGATTCTTACTTTTCTTTCTATCCTCAAGGACCCCAGTGCATCTCATATTGCTGTATATATCAGGTACAAACCATCAAAACATTTCATTCTTGGTGTATTATCCATCGGTTGTCAACAGCAATAGGCCGTTTGCATGATGGCGTTATTTTACTACCACTACCAAAATGCTTCGCGGATATTTCCTCAAGAGAATAGTAAAGGTTCTGACACACGGTGCAACATTGCATGCAACATTGCACGCAGCAGGACTGTTGCAGAGTGAGTCTGACCCAAACTTGTTGCACGCAAAGTTACATGCAACAAATCTGAAGTTGAATTGCGCTCTACTATAGCAACATTGCGCGCAACAATTTTCATCATGTGAACATGGCTACAACATTACTTGCAACATTTTAAAATTTCCAGCCAATCAGCTTGCACCAAATTTATAACTGCTGACCAAATATCTTAAMATAGCAGGCTGACACAAGCGATGTTGCGTGATTTTGTTGCAATGTGTGTCACCCCGATTCAAATTTGTTGCGTGCAATGTTGCACCGTGTGTCAGCACCTTAAGACAATTGGTGCTAATTAAATGAACAAAAGAAAATGTGCAAAGGAGTCTGGTAGTGGGGGTAGTAAATGACATCATATAATAGCAGTGACCTATTCCGTGACACGATAGAAGTAAGCATTATTATCCTCCTCTAAGGCCCCGTCCACACGTATCCGGAAATTTTTGTATCCGCAAATTTTTTTTTGCGGATACGAAAATGTTCGCGTCCACACGCAGCGTATTCGAATCGTTTTGGAATCGTTTTCACTGTCCACACGTATCCGGAAATTTCATGATCCACCCTGATGCATGCTAGTGGCTATTCCCTTTAACGGATAGGTTTTCTTATTGAGCATGCGCAAAATCGTGTACACGTCAGCGTATTCGAAAATTCGTGGGCCGTCCACACGTATACGTATTCGGAGCGTATTCGAAAATTTCCACTCTTGAGACCGTTTTGAAAATTTTTGGATATGGATACAAAAATGTCCTGATACGTGTGAACGCAACCCGTATCCGCAAAAAAAAAAAAAAATTTGCGGATACAAAAATTTCCGGATACGTGTGGACGGGGCCTAAAACTCTTCTTTTTTTTCAGTTCAAGTTTGGTATTCACTCAAAACAACTTCAAAACAACATCAATGTTTTCTATTCCTGTTAGCATTCTTGAGGTATATTTTTCTGAATAACTTTGAAAATCTAAACTTGATAGACTTGATAAACGACATTTCGCTTTCCATGTTTTCGTTTTTTCAGTATCTCATGCGATTGATTTTTTGCCCCCTTTCCCCCCAGGGATCTCCGCCTGTTGTTAAAGATGTCTTATTCTTAGATACAAATATACTCATTCTCCTGGAGGTCGGAAAAGTATTAGCCTATGATGAAGAGGCAGGAGTGTTCACTAGATCCACAGGTAACCCATAGGGAATTTCTTACGAAAAACACAGGTTTCCCATTCCAGTTTTGTTAGTATACCCTTACTTGGTTGATACCTCTGTCTCTTGCACTAGATAGACATGGGATTATGTATGACTTAGCTGCATATTCGTAACTTGCATATTCCAAGATTTGATTGCATTGCCGCAGTGTTTTGATTGGACGAGCAGAAGTCTCGCGCGCTCTGATTGGTTCAAGTATGACATTGCGGTCTTTTAGTGTTTTAATTGGATGATCAAAAGTCTCGCCAGTTCTTTGCCGTGTCGTAATGTTTTGATTGGACGGACAGAAATCGCGCGCGTTATGATTGGTTCAAGGTTCATACAGCCATGTCTCAGTGTTTTGATTATATAAACATAAGTCTCGCGCACTCTGATTGGCCCAAATTGGGGATGACATCCCCTCCGTACCGTTACCGTGTTGTTTGCCTAAATGTTTCGCAATCGTACGAAGTCTTTTTGTCAACGAGGTCATATTCTTATTAATCCTTGTCCTTCTTCAACCATTTGACTATAAACAGGCTTGGCTGGTCATAACATCACTCACCTTGCTCATTCCACTCCATGTTTCGACGGGCAGAATTCAAATGTAAGAAATATCTTGGTTCTTATACTGAAGTGGAATAGTTATAATCAATCTTCCGTTCCCCCTTATACCAGTGCGCTAATCATCTGGGATTTTTTAAAATTTTATTCAAATGTTACCACTCCTTTGGTATAATTGCTAGTGTAGCCTGCGTATTTCCCCTCGACTGTAGCAACTGGAAAAAAGAAAAGTCGTCCACCTTCGGCCACCCAACACTGGGGACATCTACACAGGGCGAAGATAATAGTGTTAATTATGAAACACTATGAACTACGTATAGGGTTCTGAGTGTACGTGTGAAGTAATAAGATGAATGGAGAAGTATTTTGACTTTATTTATCTCTAATTGTCATTACTGGTATTGGTTACAGGGAACAGACCATGACATYGTTGCTTGGTATAACGTGGTAGGTTTAGAATACTTGAATAAAATATCATTTTATAGATGAACATTTTAGAATTGAACTTCACTTACGTGAAATTCAAGAAATTTTGTGTTGAAAAAATAAATAAATAAATAAATAAAATAAAAAATAAAAAATTCTTGCATTTTCAGGATGGTAAAGTCAAGACCTTTATTTCTATCGATGGTGATAATAAATTTGATGCCCTGTTTGTTCCATGGCCCAGTCCGTCTTCTGTAAGTATATCAAATATTGAAAAATGAGAGTATTCTCTTACCCAAACCCTTCTCAGCTTTCTAACGAAAATCGATTTATGGCTGAGGAGGGTCTGGGTACGAGAATGAAAATGAGAGCTGTTTCTTAAGACGTTTCTAACATAAGGGTTTTGACTTCCGTCGATCTAAAAAAATTAATTCTCTCTATTAAAAATTTCGTAATTTGACGGACGTCAGCCATAATATAAACAGTAGTGAACTCCGTTTGGATTTGAGTGCGTCGCAAGAGCGCGAAATCTGTCCTTGTAGTGAGTTAACGTTCAAACGCATGCATGAACGCAAGTGCAAATGAATGGTATTTTTACTTCAATTAACCAATCGTACGCTGTTTCCTCTTTGTCACAGTGGCACTTACACGATGTGATTTACCATCACTTTTACGAGAGCTTCTTCTTTCTCATCCAAGACACCAATCACACTGAATTAAAGGTAGATATTTTAATCAGTGTGTTTGGGTTTTTTAACTGATTCTTATCCTTTCTTCTGACATATATTATTTTTTCCACAGCCGCTACTTTTGCAGTATTTTCGTAAAGATGAGACATGGCAAGAACGACAGTTAGCATTTGCAAATTTTACAGAAGGTATGAAAGATAACGATCAATATCTTTATGATCACCTTTCTCATCAGTATCAGTATCATCATCATCATCATCATCACCATCACCATTACCATCATCATCATCACAATCGCCATAATTATCATCATCATTTTTATTTTAATCATCATCAACATTATCATTATCATCATCACCATGAAAAAATATCACCACCATCATCATCGTCGCCGTAATCTTCATTATCATCTACATCGTCATGTATCATCACCACTACTTTCTCAACTTCATCATCATAAACAAATAAAGATTTAAACCTTTTTTCATGTGATTTTTTTCGTAGCTGGTCCTTTATCGTTTACCTTTATTCCATATAACACTCATTTGATCCTGATCTGGAGTGCCAAGTCTATCATCTATGGAAGACTTAATGGACAAGGTAGACATTTAATAGGCGAGACAATCCCCTTTTCCATCCATCCCCTTATCCATCCATCCATAAATCCATCCATCCATCCCCTTATCCATCCATCCA